CATCATTAGAATAAGAAATCACAATTACAAATAGTGGAAATAACGACTAACATAAAGGAACTAATCAATAAAAGAACGAAAAGAAAAAAACTTGGACTAATTAATAAGGAGTGTTTTAACCATATTAGAGCATCATTAGAATAATGAAATCCAAATCATCAGTAATAGAAATAAGGAATTACGTGATTAAATGAAAAAATGGCATTTTTTATCTATCTATCTATCTATCTATCTATCGATCTATTTATTTAGCTATCTATTTATCTATCTATATCTATCTATCTATCTATCTATGTCGATCTGATAGGCCTATGTTATTTTCTGTAGCACTTTAACTAGTTTCCTAAATATAAACTAGCTCCCTATATATACTACCCAGTCTTCATATAAATCCTCCTTATTCGCTTAAACCGGGTGAATAATACGCTTACTAATGGTCCATGTGATTGTTCAAAGGTTTTGAATTTGGTTAATATAGAAATGTTTATCTGTCGGTCGTTTGTTCAGTCGGTTGGTGTGTGTGTCTGTGTATCTTGCCTGTCGATTTATTTGTATATCAGAGCCATTATATGTGCTATGCATTATAAAAATTTATTTAAATATTTACTTACTTGCTTAATTTGCGTGCCTGTGTGAATAGAGTGGGGTGTAGTAGACCTCACACACAAGCGCGTACGCAAACGTGCCCACATACACGCACGCGCACGCGCACACGCACTCACACGCACACGCACACGCACGCGCACACTGCCCACACTGCCACCATGTTCATGAAAGCGGATCGCTCCCTATACCTGCCCACCTACACCTGAATGCTCGCATATTTTTTGTCGGTAACTCGATACAGGATACAGGATGTGCGAAACTTTACCGTCAACATTTCACTGGAAGGCAATCACGTGATCGAGTAAATGCTGCCCTAGACAGGTATATATATATATATAGGTAGGAGTTAGGGTCTAATATAGCGCATGCGCAATATCTCATCAGTGAAGTTATATTTTGTGATGAAAATGCATTTAGTATGGTCAGGGGATATCTCAGCATCGATTCCTGTAATAAATTCTTATCAGTATAGACCTCTGTTTATAGATAGGAGAGCGCCCTAGCGTGTAGGGTGCAAAACTCCTACTTTATTCCCGCCCGCCCTTCCCTTTGTCTCCATTGTCGCACGCTCAGCCTTTTTCTCCTTCCACCGCCCCTAGACTGTCTTCTTCGTCACCTTCCCTCAGTTTCCCACTCCTCCCTCCCTCAGCAAGCTATATTTAAGTACTTTTCCTTTGCCCGTACTGCACGTCTGAAACGGTGCTCGTGCATGCGCAATATCTCCCGGGAAGAAGAATATTTTGCAAAAATGATTAATTTAAAATGAAGAGGGCTTATCCTGGCATAGATTTATGTGATAAACCTTTATCAGTAGACCTCACTTCAGAAATAGGAAGCAGACCTTGCATGTAAGGTTCAGGCTGCATATATACAAGTCAGTACATAACCTGGCTACGTTACTGTTTTAGCGCATGCGCAATATCTCACCATTGGAGTTTTATTTTGTGATGAAAATGCATTTAATTTAGTCAGGGAGTATCTCAGCATCGATTTCTGTAATAAATTCCTATCAATAGACCTGTGTTTATAGATAGGAGAGCGCCCTAGCGTGTAGGGTGCAAACTCCTACTTCATCCCCGCCCGCCCTTCTCTTTGTCTCCATTGTCGCACGCTGCATGAGCCTCCTTCTCATTCCACCGCCCCTTGCCATGCCTCTGGTAAAAGAGGATACGACGCCCTAGCCTGCAGCGTACCCCGGACAGACTGTTTTTGGCAGCAGTCTCTCACATACATGTGCCTGTATATATTCGTTGAAATACTCGTTATTTTAACGGATACTGGGCATATGCAACCCCGTATGTTACCGTCTGGTAGATTAGCAAGTATTCTAGAATTTTAGTTATGCTAAAGTCTAAAATCAAGGTTCGCACATGCGCAGTAGCTAACTGATTGATTCATATTTTTAATTTAGAACATATTTAAAATGGAGCCGGGCTACCCACGAGTAGATATCTGCGATAAATATCCATCGCCATGCCTCTGGTAAAAGATGGTACGACGCCGTAACCTGCAGGGTACCCCAGACAGAGTGTTTCTCGTAGCAGTCTCTCAGATACACGTACGTGTATAGGCCTATATTCGTCCAAATACTTGTTATTTTAACAGATACTGGGGATATGCAACCCAGTATATTACCGCCTGGTACAAGTATTTAGCATAGCTAAAATTCTAGAATAGACTTCCGTTGGACGGGGGATACCCCACTCCCAGCCCCCCCCCAGCCGCTTCGCTCCCTCGCAGGCTCTTGAACCACGTCTGGTCCCCCCACACTTTTTAAAATGGATTTGCGTCCCTGGTCCCCCACGACCCGAATCACCACGTTGCCGTCGAGTGGGGGCTGGCGTACTCCTGTGACTCCAACGGCGAAGTTAGCAAAGGTCTAACCATGCTAAACCAGCCAAGGAAAGGGAGTCAGACGAGGAGTGATCCAAACCAAGTGAGAAATAAAGAGATGCTATGTAGAGAGACGTTCTGTTGTCTGATTCAGGTCATCTGCTGTAGAAGGGAACGAAATACGTGACCAGACAGCTAATCCGTCTGTAACATTCACGTCCAGTGAAGTTTCCACCCGGATGATGCGGGAACCCCCCCCCCCACACACACACACATATACACGTTTTACGTCATACGCAGGTTACACGTGTCGTACAGCAGTAGAAGGCGTCCATAGGCAGCAGGCATGAATAAGCATCGGACAGAAATTAATCAAAAATACTCACACTGTTTCATCTCATTCACAACATACACTTTATTCCTGTTAAATAACTACAGATTCCTGCTCTATGCTCCGCTTGAAACTTTTGCCAGCTCTATGATGCGAATTTCTACAAAGTAGTCGGATCACATTTCAAACACAAAAATGACCAAACGGTCATCATGGCTACTCCACATGACGGAATGTCACAGCTACACGACAAGACAAACTTTACTTCTAATGCTTTCTAGACGTCCACGAGGCATCTAACCTGCGTGCATAACGTAAAAGAAACTCTAGTGACGAATTTAACCAAAAAAATGCCAAAAAATGCTTTTTCTAGAACCGAAATAGTGCGTAACAATTTGCGGAGGCTTACTGTTGTATGCCTCCAACACGTGAGCGTGTCGCCCCACGGTGACGTGTCAAAGTTTACACGTGCGTATAATTTTGGCACTCTTAAGCCCGGCGCACACGTGGCGATTTTTATCGACAGTACCGTCGATTTTTATCGCCGGTACTGTCGATAAAAATCGTCACGTGTGCGCCACCCGGCGACAATTCAACCGTCTATCAGCGACACACCACTGTATGAACTGTACGTGACCTGTTCAAACCACACCACGGGCGCTGCCAATATTTGATCACGTGCTTCAAATCATGCATTTGATTGGTTAATCCAAAAACTGTTATTAACGAATACAACAATTATAAGACGACTAGCGATCTAGTGACGACGGCCTTCCATACGCAAACGACATTTCGGCGGAGGTCTGGACAGTAGAGCTGGACATGGACTGTAAAGATTCTGCCTCTGCGTGGCTGTGCAGTAAGACACGGCCGGCGGCAGCTTTTGTAGTAGGAGGGAGGGTCGAGACGAGAGAGAGAGAGAGAGAGGAGACGAGAGAGAGAGGGAGAGAGCAGAGAGAGGAGAGAGGAGAGAGCGAGAGAGAAGGAGAGAGAGAGAGAGAGGAGAGGAGACGAGAAGAGAGAGAGAGAGAGAGAAGGGGGAGACATTACATTACATTGCATCACATTAACTTATTACATCAACTTTGTTTCAGTACTAATACTATATGTATGCCTGTGTTTGCAGATGAAGGGCGTACAGGGCGACAAGGACAACTGCACACTACTACAGCCGCGTAAATATGTGGAGCAGCGTTTCACACGAACGAGGCGCTAGAGGGCGTGCATGAATTGGTGCGATGGATCCGCAGGGGAGCCCCCTTTTCAATCGCGACATTTTGAATCACGCAGGTATGGACTGAGAGTATCGTCAATTTGATTTGACTATTAAATCGTGTAAAGCCATAATGACATGACCTATAATTACCGATGCGTTAGTAATCTATACGTACCTGTCTCACCATCTCCAATACCCACCTACTTGATACTGTTGCTTAGGTTACGGACGGCGTAACACTGTAAAGGCATTGCACATAAACTGCTCATCAATTCAAATCAAACTAGATATCCATTACATAAGAGCACGATGTCTCCTCTATTGCTCCGCGAATGAAATTATTATTTTTTACATTCATCGCTATTAAGTGACCGGCAAAAATTTGTGAATTTATAACAAAAAAATGTTTTTTCCCCTATCTCATTCCTTACATTGTTCGCCTGCTCACTATACAGTTACTACCCTCCCCTGTCAACATCACTCTATATGCGCTATTCTCTGATTAGACTAACCTTCGCGCACTCTCTCACTCCTCCTAGCGCGTCCTATATCTCACCTCCTCCGCTGTTATTATAGGGGCTTACTCCTCCCACGCCAACAGCGCCCTATCATCACCCCAGTCCATTTATGCGCTCTGCGCTTATAAGGAAGGCGGACCGAGCAGTATTAATCACGTCTTATTACGTTATTGTGCTACTGTATAAGCTGTATATTTCGCGGTGGGTTTAAGTTCGCGAATTCGCGAACGTGTCCCGACGCGAAAATAACAACACGCGAATAATCATACGCAAATATGCGATATTCATCAATTCACCGACGCGAATTAGCATTCGCGAAATGGTTGCGTCAAGTCTGATTCGTGAAAATAATCTGTACGCGAAAATGGCGTTACAGTAATCACGTCTTTAATTCTTTGCAGGTAAATGCGGGAAGGTGATGTGTTCGAGTGGAAAAGCCAGGATGCGTGATCCATTGATGCTTCGACTTCCGTCCTTCTATAAGTGTGTGGGATGCTAATGTACGGCGCGTGCGCGTGTGCAGAGAGAGAGAGAGAGAAAGAGGAGGAGAGAGAGAGAGAGACGAGAGAGAGGAGAGAGAGGAGGGAAGAGAGAGAGAAATAGAGAGACGAGAGAGAGAGAGAGAGAGAGAGAGAGAAGAGAGATGAGAGAGAGAGAGAGAGAGAGAGAGAGAGAGACAGAGAGAAAGAGAGGGGGAGATAGAGTGAGAGAGAGAGGGGGGGGAGAGAAATAGAGTGAGAGAGAGAGAGAGAGAGCGAGAGAGAGAGAGAGAGAGAGGAGAGAGAGAAGAGAGAGAGAGAAACGCTTGAGAGTCTCACGGATATACTAGTCCTTTGCTGTTATCAAAGGGGGTTCCGGGCATTCATTTATATATATAATATTATATATATATAGATATATATAGATATAGATATAGATACATACATCTACGCATATACATGTAATATATATATACAGATATATACAGTATATATATGTATACAGATATGGCATATATATGTGATATGGCTATGCGAGCCAGAACTCGGCATTGCATTGAACCGTCGTGCTGGAAATGGATGATATTTCCTTACCACTGATACTGTGTTTTTATATGTGTATTGCTGCGCGAGCAAAAGGGTCTTTTTTAATGCCTACAGTGATTGAACCTCAGGCGTGAATACGTGTTCTGAAACATATTGAAAATCTTCTGAAAAAGTTTACTTTATTGGTACTATGCTGTAAAAATGACCAGAATAATGATTCTTCTGATGACCCCTGAACGTCATATGTAAGATCGCAGCAATACTTGTTTTCCTTCTATGGTGCTTGTAATTTGCATTTTTATCAGCTGGTTTCAACGTTCGCTTTCCGCGCCCTGCCCTGCGCTGCTCAAACGATCGTCAGCATAAATTTCTGTTTAAAAATAAATTGAAATCGAGACATTAGATATAATTTATTAAATCTCGGTCAACTCTCACATGAACATGAAAATTTCAACGTGAAATGATCAACATTCACATAAAAATTTATAATGTGAGAAATAACACGTAGTATGCGAAGGGAAGTTCTAATTATGTGGCCTTTATTGTACTGTTTAGTTGTTTAGTTAATTGTGGTCGCTGTAGAAGAAAAATATACGAATCAGTTTAGCTAAATATTGTATTCTGGTATTTCACGACATATGTATGGTATTTAGAGAGAATGAATCTTTATCTCGTTGTGTGGGGGGCATCATCAAGAATATGTTATGGTTAGGTGATTTACAAATAATAAATTTATAGCAACATAAAATCCGGTGTTATATGTTAATATAATGTATCATGTGCTTTACATCACGGGTTTTGAACATATAGTCACACGTCAATCGTACACTTGATATTCACAGCGAGAGTGTGTGCGTGCAAACTAATTAGCAGTGCCAAGAATTAGATGAATTATTATGTCTAAGCAGCGTAATGACACAGTAATTCACGACATCATTGATTGAGAGACAATTAACGTGCTGTTCATCGCCATTCGGTCATATATATTATATTATATATATAATATATATATGTGGTGTGTGTGCATAATACGTTGTATTTAAGTGCATGTATTTATTGGAATGAAGATATAGCCTATATCGGTACATAATATGGTAACAGATTAGTAACGAAAGTATGTAGAACCTAAATCTACGTTAAAAGTTATTTATCCTAATATATAAATTTATCTTAATTATAATAATTATCTATACACATGGATTAAAACCATCATAAGAATGATGAAATCACAATTATAAGTAATAGAATAATATAACATTAAAAGCTAATAAATTTAAGAAAAGAAAGAAGAATTAAATCAAATGAACGAATTTTTTTCTGCCATTGGATTGAAGTTGGCATCTTCATTACAAAACGCCCTAGTTCGCCCTACGGCGCCTTTATACACGCTAAAGCGCGTCTATTGCTATCATGCTATTGTAGGCGCGTTATGCACGCTACGGAGGTAAAGTTCTGCAGGAGATAGATAGATGCAGACAAGACGAGAGATAAGGTAAACTAGCGTTTTACTCATCTCTAACACGATACAACAGTGCTCAGTGCACTACGAGCGAAAGAGCGTTTACTACACGGCAACCGTATCACGCACTTACACTTTCTCAGCGGTGTCTTGTACAAAGAGCCCGAGGCGCGGCTGCTCTCCACTATTTGTACGGCGCTCCTCCCCTACGTCACTCTCGTTTTGCCCCCCTTTCGGCAACCGGCCGCTATAATAAGGTGGGGTGAGTATTACCACTTGCTACTTCACTACCGAATAAGGTGAGGGTGCGTGTTTCCCCTTGCTGGATTCCATGGATCCGATTCTGGCCATGGTGTCAGCCACAGTCATCTACAGGTCAGCACCTTTGCGGCACCTGTCACAATCCGCAGGATTCGGGGATTCATGACCGTGGTTCCGTTTCTTGCGTTCCCTCCAGCCTGTCGGCTCCCTTGATCTGGAGTCGCCCGCAGCCTGTTATGACATCCTACCGACACGGGAGCGGCAAGATTGCTTCCCGCCTCGCCATCGCTTTCGTTGGCGTGTGGGCTTCGCCGCTTACACTATTATGCTATTATGTTCATATTATCTATATCTATTATACTGCGCTATTATGCTATCATATATATCTATATCTATTATACTGCGCTATTATGCTATCATATATATATCTATATCTATTATACTGCGCTATTATGCTATCATTGGTCGAGATACAACGTACTACCCATCCCCACCCGGTCATAGATATCTGCAAGTATAATTATGTTGAATTACGGTGTATTTAATGAAATAAAGATATATATATATATATATATATATATATATATATATATATACAGAAAATAATGTTATGTAACAGAATATCAATGAAGTAGAGTAGAACCTAAATCTGCGTTTAAACTGTTAGGCTAAGGAGTGTTTTAACGATATTTAATTCAGAATGTTATATGACTGAATCTACTAACCACATAAGGATTAATACCATCATTAGAATAAGAAATCACATTACAATAGTGGAAATAACGATTACATAAAGGAAACTAATCATATAAAGAAAAAAAAGAAAAAACTTGGACTAATTAATAAGGAGTATTTTAACCATATCAGAGCATCATTACAATAATGAAATCCAAATCATCAGTAATAGAAATAAGGAATTACGTGATTAAATGAAAAAATAGAATTTTTTCCATCATCCATCATCTACATCCTCACCCATTCATCCATCCATCCATCACTCATTCCATCATCCATCCATCATCCACCCAGCCCCTGCATCATCCACCCAGCCCCTGCATCATCCACCCAGCCACCTGCATCCACCTATCTATCTATCTATCTATCTATAATATATAGTA